CTCTCCCGCGTGAAGCCAAGGACCTACACTAGGTCTCAGTGGAGACCTAGGACATGGCCCTCCTCACGTCCCACATCCGTTTTTTCCTGCAGCAGCTTTATCTCCTACCACTTCTAACCTCAGCACACCAACTTTCACCACACCTCCCTCCCACTTCTGATGGGCTTAGCCAGATGGTTCCTGGGGTGTCTTAGCCCATCTGTAGAAGAAATTAAAAATACAGTTCTAGGATCTCTCAGGTGGATGGGTCCAAGAAAAAAGTAGAACTATTACCAACATACACATCTCGGTTCTGAACTACAGAGGATCCACAGGGAGAAGTCCTAGCTTCAGGTATCCCAGCCAGGACCTTAATCTTTACATCAGCATGTGCAGGAAAGGAGTAACTTTGCATAAAGAAAGGTTTGGACCTTGCTCCTGGATGGAAACTGCTAAGCTCTTGGAATATCCTGCCAGATGAGAGTGTTGTTTACCTGGGGCCTTGGGCCACACAGACAGTCAATGCCAACAGTGTGACTTACAGTGGGGCCTTGGGCCACAAACAATTAGTTCAATTCCAGAGAGACTGGAGACTAAGGTCAACAGGGGGACAGGCGGTGATGCCATGACAAACTGCAGTGAGAACCCTGGACACCCAGGCTTAAGTGAGCTTCTGCGCACCTCCTTCCTTAGCCAATTTTAATCTGTTCTTTCATTGTGATAAAATGTAACAGTGAATAATACCTTTTCTGAGTTTCATGAGTCCTTTCAGCAAATTGTTCAGCCTAAGGGTGGTCTTGGTGACCTCCTGAATTGCACAGTGCCCCCAGTACATGTTTGTGATAGTGTTAAACTACCCCTAACGGGAAAACGTCTCATCCTGAATGTTACTTACAGACTCACTAAAACTTACAATGTAAAACAAAGAAAAAGGAAAAAAAAAGGTGAAAAACAGCTTTGGCAATATCCAATTACACAAGAATACGTATAAGCTCTGCTTACAGTTCACAGCTAATCAGCTCGGGTATGGTATGATTACACTGTTCATTAATTTTTGTCCATTCAGCTCTTCCTTACTTTCATTTTTACTTCTGCTTATTATTATTATAACTCTAAGTTTTGCTCATGTACATGAGTTCATTTTAAAAAAAAAGTAAAGAGAATACTGTCCACTAGTAAAAATGTTCTATGAATAACTAGGTCTGACATCTATATTTTTTGGTTAGGATGATGAGTTTTTTTTTTTTTTTAATCATTTTAATGATTAACTGGAAGCCATTACAGCACGAGGAAATACATATACACACTCACTCTAATCTTTTCAGTACTTACACTTGTAAGCAGATGTTTCAGATGGTCATTTAGAGAAGGACCAACGACGACACTTAACTGCACCAGAGCATTCAGTCCTCTTTCAAACACTTCATCATCCAAATGGACCTGTGGAGGTTGGTTGGTTAGGGGAGCATGGGTGTCATGGGCAGAGAGGGAAAGAGAAAAAGGAGGGATTTGTAAGGAGAAAGGACAAGCAGGTGGAGAAAAAAAGACTGAACATTCAAAATTAGAAGATAATCAACCAAACACAGAATTTTAGAAATAACCTTTAGCACAGGACACCCAGAAGCAAATAACCAATTTTCAGCTTGACCGAAACATTAATTAAAATACATTGCAGCATACAGAAAGGCTGATTTGAAGTTCATTATTTTCTCTAATTACTCAAGATGTCCCTTTTTACCTTTAGTACATCCTCTAAAGGTGTTTTCCAGTAAGTAATCACCTGACCCTGAGTAACACTGGCCTAATTCTGCACACACATCAAAATCACAAGCAAAGAACAAATTTGCATATAATTTGGAGGAAAAAAGACATATTATATTCTAAATGTACCATAAAAAGTCTAAAGGAATAAAGGACACACCAGGGCCGCCTTCAGCACAGGAATCAGTCTAGGAAGCAAAGGCACAGCTTTCTCAGGAGCACCTGCCACCAAAAGTAATTCTCTAAACCCCTCCTTTGACACAAAGGTGTAAGGATGTTTAGTCTCTCTCAGACCCTGCCGAAACAAAAACAAAAACATGACTTACTACCCATTTAGTGATGTTAATGGCAAAAAAAAAAAAAAATCACTCCTTACTACTGTAAGTGAGAATCAAGTTTTACTATCATTGTTTTCCTATTAGTGAAATATAATTTCAGGAATTACAATTTCAGTTAAACTAAGAAATTGTGGAACATATGACAAACACGTGACAGGAAGGATCTCTAACCAAAGAAAGAAGGAAGGGAAAGAGTAAGAAAAAAAATGAAAGGAATAGGAAAAAACAGAGGAGAAGCAAAGAAAAATAAAAGAAATAAAGAAAAAGAAACTAAAGGAAAAAAGAGAAGAGAGAAAAAGAAGTGGGATGGGAGGGAGAAGAAAGGTAAACAAAAAGAAATACAGAGAAGAAAAGGAAAAAAACTCACCAGGGCACCAAAAACATGCTGTATATACTCCCAAACACTGCCTGAAATCACAGCAAATTAGTCTAAAATGTATGTTCATAAACTCCACTTTATGAATGCATAATTACTGGACCCCCTACCTTTTCGGTGATTTTGCAACCTGCTTAATGAGTTTCTAAAATACTACATTTCCTTCGTATTTAAATACTAAGATATTTAGAAGACATATCTTATACTATGTTTAAAATGCACTGTAAAATTTCAAATGTCATTTTTAACATCAGAATGTCAAAATACTAAAAAAACCCCAAACCTGGGTGACCCACTTCTCACTATGCCTTTCATCCTAAATGCATTAGGAACAATTAGACAGTACTCTTTCGATTTAACTGATCACTTTGAATCAGGATAAAAGACCCATCAGGTTTTGTGCGTGAAAAGATAAAAACAAAGAAAGCAACAGCAATATTCCCTCAGCCTGACTAATTATTATCCGTGAACAAGTATAACCAGCCCCAGGCTCATGCCTAAAAATATTGCTTTTCAACCAATTTGTCCTTTAAACCAAACTGTCTGCTTCCAAATGGGGATCAAACGCTTCCTCTTTCCTAGATGCCATCATGCTTTTGAAAACTACGCTGCTAAGCACACTGGCACCACCTTGAACACAGCCTCTGCGGTCTTAGGAGCGTCCCTATCCTGCTGATTTTAGAGATGAGGAATCTCAGGTGAAGAGGTGAAATGGATTTCAGCAGTGGTGGCGCTGTCACTACTTCCCCATTATTAAATGAGCAGGGGGGAAGGCTAAAACTTTACCCAGTACTGAAATAAAAGCACAGGAGTTTAGAAAACAGGTATTTAAAATAAACTAAGCTCAGAGCCCCAAATTAAAGCACTCCCCCTACTCTGTGATTAGCTAGAATATGCTTTCAAAGGTATCATAGTTTTGATTCATCTAAAAAACTGTATGTAAAAAATTTAAAGTTTAAAAAAGAACTTGTGAAACGTTAGAACATCTTTAGTTTTTAATACCAAGTTTAAAAGTTTTTGATTCAAATTTAATTTCAAAATAGATTACCCATAAGACACACAGCTTATTATACCAAAATAATTCTGCAAGCTGAGGTATAAATTAAGAAAAGCTAAGACCTAAAATAACTTGGCAGTCTTCAGTAGTAACTATTGTGTCCATTTAAAAGGTTAAATACACTTGGAAAACTACAGGAGGAATTAGATATTCTAAGGATTAACTACAAATAAGAAATCTCAATCAGCAAAAGTATCTACTTTCTCTGCTCTGTTGCCACCTGGCCCTCCCCAGTGTTCTACAAGAAAAGCAAATGTTTTTTGTCTGAGTTTTTTCACTGTCACATTTTTATTTAGATTACTTACTACTATATGACTTAACCTAGAGGCATTGCCTATTTAAATTAATAAATTTAGGCACAAATTGAAAGACTAGTTTAATAGCAACAACAACGAAAATGATTCTTAACTCTTAAAGAAGATAAGTTATCTAAAAGTTTAACTATAAGACAACTGGTTAATTCATTTCTCAACTTCTGATTCTATAAAGTTATAAATAATAAAATCCACAGAAGATATCATTGACTCACTTCAAGCTTATACTCTGCCACCTTTTTTCCTGACACAAATGTTAAACAATATAAAGGAATCTATCAGAGGTTTTTCTAAAATCCTCTACAAAAACCATCTCCATGATATTCTACTTCAAATGTACAAGTAGGCAAAAGTCCAGAGAACTCTCCAAAAGAATGTTTAGTAGTTAATATCAGTTCCCTAAGAAGCATATCATGTTAAACATGACTGGTTCTATAAAAAGGGACCACTAGTCATTGTTATCTGATGCAGTATAAGTTTAAACACCGGATGTTCTCTTGATTTAACTAGTTCAATAGGATTCCAAGCACTTTTTAAATAATTAAATATGAACATTTCATCCACTTATCTACAAATCCCCATGCAGACTCATTTCATGTTTATAAAGCTGGTTAATCAGTTTCTAATAAACATATAACAATCATAATTAGTTCCTAAGGGAGCATGGTGTTTTAATGTCTGTTGTTTGGCTTTTATTTCAAAAGTAAAGAATGAGATTTACTAATGAGTTACAAGATAACACTTAATGCAATTAAAAAAAATTTTCCCCATAAACATTCAGAAAGGATAGAGTGTTTATTTACCTCAGCTAAAGTAATAAGAAGAGGATCAAATGGAAGATTTTCAGGAGGACACTCCCACTGTAATCTGTGTTTTACTGAACCATGGACCAATCTAAAATATAAAAGCGAACGTAACAAAAGCAATATAATTATTATATATTAAGCAGTGATTATCTAAAATATACATATTCTTTCTAGAACATAACCATATTAGAATTATTTTGTAAATACCAGGACCTTAAATATTACGAAAGCATCCTATAAAGCAATAATATACACTTGTATTTATAACCCTGCAAATTCATACTCTCTCAACAAAATTATTTGGTGGCAAAACTAAACAATTCCACATTTGTTAAGTCTACAGTTTTGGAGTTCAAGCACGTTGCTATTTGTGTCTTAATGCAAACGTTACATTTGATATGTTACAGTCATAATTATAACAAAATAGGTAACCTGTAGACAAACCTATAGCAAGCATATCACAAAATACACAAACAAAATGTAATAATTAGAAATAATTTTTTAATAAGTGACATTATTTTTCAGATATAGATCATTTCACTCTAATGCGAATAATCTAAAGGCAAGCCAGGTTTTGTCCCTGTTAAAGAGAACACAGAGGCCAGGAAGGTGAGACGGCCATGCAGGGTGACTGAAGTGCTATCCCCTTGAATTAGAGCCACTGCTGCTGCTTCTTTTTTAATGGCCTTTATTGAGGCATAACTAACATGAAATAAAAGGACGTCGTTGTGAAGTGAAAAGTTGGTAAGTTTTGATGTATGAATACATCCGTGGAACCATCATCACACTCATGACCATGAACTTATTCATCCCCCTCAGCTGTCACTTCACAATCCTTCTCCAATGCTCTCAACTTGACACCCTCTTTTGTGTAATTTTCATAATATCAAGAAGCCTCAGTAACATTGTTTTTTAGCAATAACAAATTGCTCGGAGGGAAGGAGGTATAAAAACCTTAAAAGAGTTTCAAGTACAAAATGGTAACAACAAGAAATTAAAGAATGCTTCCTAAGCTTATTTTTCACCCATAGTCCTTCAAATCTGAAAATAGCATTAAAAACTACATTCCTTGAATTTTAGAACAACAGCAATAACAACAAAAAGAACGTTGTGATTCCACAACATCTACAATGAAAACAAAATTTTCTATTACCCAGAACAGGATAAAACTGGATATACTTAGAAGACATTAACGTTTCTCAGTATTGAAATCTTAAAATGATATCACTCTATTAGTAACCTGTATTGTTTTCTTTAAAATAGTTTTGATGTCTGTCCAGAAAGGTCGCAAGAACTGTATCAAAAGTAAACAAAACAGCTATATATATTCATTACGAAATATAATTTCAATAAATATAAACTTGCGATTTTTGAAATTTTGAACTTTTAAAATATAATTTCAAAAAATCATTTCAGAAACTGGTTAATTCAATTTCTTAAATTATTTGTTGGTTTACGTAGATTTATCAGTAACCCTATGTTGGAATTAAGATGATTCTCTTCAACAATGTCCCAGGATCTATACCAATCCAACAGCCAAAGTATGAGTAAGTCACCTTCATTCCAACCTCCCTAGTAAATAAAACTTTCAGTACATTTAAACTGAAAACTGTATTAATTTTACTCAATTTTTTTGAATAATATAGTCAGTTACGACTTGCATTGATTTTTACCTGCAAGGAATGCCTCCTTTAGAGTAAATTGCTGCAAATGCAGACGGGGCTCGTGACTGTTCACCAAACTGAAACAAAAATGACAAGAATACAGTAAACATTACTATCACCTCCACTTTGTGATATCTTATCAATTTTAATTCTGCTGAGGCTGGAGGCAAACGGACACCCTGACTTCCAAGTCACAGCGCCTGTATCCAGTGCATCATTCTACTCAGAAAGGTGGCTGAGAAACACGCTCAGTCCTCTCAATACTGAAACCACAACCATAGCAGCATTTTGTATATTCCCTTTTATCCTTGTTTCAGAAGACTGGAAGGTAGCAGAAACCATGTATAAAATAAACATGCTGTAGACAAATAGTATTAAATATAAATACTATAAACAAACACAGCAAAGGTAACACACTCTTCCACCCCTCCCCATCTGTGACGTTTAAGGTGAGGGCTAAGTGGAGACAAGGTGTCAAGTACAGAGCAAGGATGTTTGTTTTCACCCTCTAGCACATCTCTTACTTGTGCTCCACTCAAACATGAATAGTTGGATGGTCAGAGAACCTGTAGTTTCTCCAATCTGGTTTTAAGCTTCTACAAAAATCAAAGGCTGAGGATGAGCAGGGGTGATAGAGCTGAAGACAGAGCAAGACTCTCACCAACACTTGCCCTGATGTGTCTGCCTGGATATATAACTTCCCAACTGCCAGCTTTTCTATCTATTATTTTAAGAATAAATTAATTCTGTACGTACTCTCAAAGACAATTTAAAAGATGATCAATCACAGTAGCTATGCAATCACAGCTTACATAACTTCAATATAACTGATTAAAGAATTGAGGCACAAAAAGTAAGTATTTTACTACGTGGTTCTTTGAATATAATCAAATGAAACACAGTTGTCTAAATTACAAAATATAAACTTACTAACCTCTTTTAAAGATATAACTAGCTAAGAAAAATTTTTTAAGTCACATTCAGTAATTGAAAAATGTACTTAAATGTTTAAGTTTAGAATTAACCCTTTTCCCTCTGGAAAAGCACTTATGTTTTAAGTAAAGATACATAAATGACATTTCATTAAAATATGGTATTCTAATAGAAGATTAATGTGTCTTAGCTCAATCCATGTTCTGGGTGACAAGTGACAGCAATACTAATGTTTCATTTATCTAATTATAATTTGTGCTGAGAAAAACGTAAGTTTTAAAAATCATGTTTAAGTAAGATACTTAAAATTTAGGCACATTAAAGCACAAAAATTTTAAGTGTATAAATCAGTGAATTCTCAAAAAGTGAACACACCCATGTAACAACACTCAGGTGGAAACCCTGAACGCCACCAGTGCCCTAGGAGCCTCCGCGGCATCTCCCCCAGCGCCTACCCACCCCTCCCTGAAAGCTAACCACCATCCCGGCTTCCAACGGATTTGTCCTGGATTGGAAGCTTCTGTATCTCTTAGACATGGTCTTTTCTAATATACCCTGTTCTCAGGTCAAATCATTATTTCCCAAAGGCTTTCCTTAATTTTTAATAAAATTTAAGAGGAGGGCCGCTCAATCCTACTACTTAGTTTTTCCTTAAAGAGAGGAAGAAAATTGAAGCGTCACCATAAATGCCCTCAACTAAATATGAGAAAAGGAAGCACCGACAAGGAGGTATCAGGACACTCTTCAGGTGTTCGAGTTCCTTGACGCTGAAACTTACAGAAAGAAGCAAAGGAACATACATGCTTAAACTATTTTCTAGTTTTCTTTTATAAAGTTAGACAATCTCCTTCTGCCTTTGGATAGTTCACTGCATCCTTTCCTAAGGAACTGCCAGATTTTACCTGCCCTCAAAGTCCACATCTCAGCCACTCTCATAGTCCCCTTTAAAGGCTGACACCATTATCATCTTACCCTCTGTAAGGCTGGTTACCATCTGGTGTTGCCACCCAAGTGTGTTCACTTTTTGGATAATCCACTGACCTAGAAACTCACAATTATGCACTTCTATGTTTGTTAAATGTGATTAAGTTGCTGTGAGAAGGCAAAAGAAAGCGAGTACTGTGGTTACGAATTCTGCTGGAGCTACTTTATAGATCACAGGGAAATAGTCAGAGATCTTTATGCAACTATGAAAGCATGTAATTCATCCTACGGCAATTGAATGCAAGTTTATTCATTGATATTAGGAAGTATAATAACCATAGTAAATAAAAAAAAGAAAATGAATACATAATTTACTTTAGACTCCACAAGAGTCATCTATGAATGTGCTAGGATGTACCATAACTGGTTAATTTCTACTTTATCCCTCATTTCCACACTCACAACACTATCTCCATTCTTCACCATGGTCATCATATGCCTTCCTTCACCACTAGCTTAAAACTGACAAACAAAAGGAACTTGGGAGAACACGCAGAATGGCTCAACAGAGTATAAGTGCCTATTACTCTGAGTCAGGAATCTCTTCTGTACCTACCGGGTTAATTGTTTTAGGGTTCAGTTTATCACTTGGTCGAGGATGAAGTTTTCTTGCAGGTTCTGGAGAACTGGTTGACGATGACGATTTGCTTTGTGGAACTGTAGTCCTTTGTTTTATTTGTGCACTTGATGATCTTTGATCACAGTTATCTGGGAAAAAAAACAGAACACCAACAAAAAAGAGGTGAAAGCTCTCTGTGCATCCACTGTATAAAATAACATGTCGTTAACAAAATTCACCTCTTCGTTTAAAAATCAACATTCCATACCTGTCACTCTGTTCCTCAGCTGCACGCCTCTCTGGCACTCTGATTTCTGCATGGCTTCCCTTTCACTCCTGCAGTTAAATGAAACTTGATTTCACCATTTCTGGGGAGGAGGATTCACTGACAATATAAAGACCCAACAGGACAGAGTAGGAAATACAGTAAAAGAACCACTAAAAAGGTATGGTATGGAGCAAAATATCTGAAAAGCCAATAAGAAAATATGAAATTGCATCAACTCCAATAATAATAAAAATATCAGAAATTAAAAACCATCTGTAAGAAAGTGAGATGTATAAAAATATGCACTTTCCCATCCAAATTGTCAAAATACACATTTAGAAACTCACTGTAATCCTCTGGCTCTATTCAGAAAATACAGACTGATTTCTGGAAAAAGTGGTTGGCACATCCCCTACTGTCTCCGTCTTTTCTGGCCTCCATACTCCTAAAGCTCTGAATGCTAACATCAAGCCCTACTTTTCCAGTGACATAATGAACTCTCCACTAAATGCACTGTAAGTTTCTTAAACTGAACATAACCAAAACTGAGATTACCACAGAGGTTATGAACCCCTTGTCACTCCAAGGTACCACCAGTTTTCTGGTCCCTTAGGCTGAAAAATTTGGGAACACTGATGTCTCTTTTTCCTCCACTTTCTATACTCAGTGCTACAGATGTGATCAATGTGTGATGAGGCAGAAGGAGCTTCAGGCTCAGATCTGGGTCTACATTTCATCTCTATCAATTACAGCTTTATGAATTTAGGCAGATTATTTAAATCTCCCTAAGCCTCGATTCCTTGACCTATTAAAAAGGGGGAGATAACACAAGCCTATCAAAGCTGTTACTGAAGAGTAAATAAGATAATATATTTACTTGCTCACCCAGTAAATGGTGGTTCACTTCTTCCTCTTTCACAATTTCCTCTTTTCTGCTAACGGGAGGGCTCTGGTTCATGGTGATTTCCAGCCTAATCAAATTATTTCAAGGAATCTTCCACCACACATACCCCAACTCACACACTCAAATGCCTGCTGGCATTTCTAGGTCTAGCTCCCATCCCAAGTTCCACGCAGCCTTTTCTGATCTTGTTTCTACTGCTTCCTTCTTTTTCTACTTGATTATTTCGTTCCCCCATTTATCTGACACTCCAATTATTCTTCCATTAGAGCACTTCCCACTTTAAGTCTTTAATATAGTCACTCTATACACACACACACACACACACACACACACACAAACCACCCATTAACTACACTGCAAGATCTTCTCTTAAGGCAACACAGGTAAAGTCCAAGTCCTCTTCCACTTCCAAATGACAGCTTTTCAAATATTTGAGGACATGACTCTCAACTGCTCGGCTTTCTCTTCTTCAGGATTAACACTGATGCTTTCTTAAATGATTCCTCACATGAGATGATTTTAATTTACTTGACAAATTAGAAATCTTCACAAGGAGGACAAAGTTCCATGCAGTAACACTCAGCCCCAAAATATTTCAAATAGGCTGTGACCAGATCAAAGTACCTTGTAAAGATACACTAAATGTAAGATTATTTCTGTACACAGAATAATTTTAAATTTCAATTTTCTTGATTTAATACATTGACCTAATTTTCTCATCTTCCTTCCAGCAGAGGAATTAACTCCTCAGTATCACACATCACATTCATCCCAAAGGCATTGTCTAGAAATATGGTAATTAATAGCTCGCTTAAGTTGTCAGATAATATTCTCAGAGAAGCAAAGGCTGGCTTTAATTATGTCGACCTAATATTGCATTTCAGTGATTATTCAACAAGTATTTACTATTGTACTTAGTTTCTGTTTTGAGAAGCTCCTGATGGGGAACAGTATGATCTAAGTTTCTGTTAAAAAAAAAACAAAAAACAAACAAAAACCTATGTCAAGGAAATTTGAGTTTCCTCAAGTCTGGGAATAGAGTAACAATCTACCCTAAAAGCTGATGAAGACTAGTAAGCTAATATATGTAAAACATTTAGAGAAGCGCTTGGCACACAGTTTTAGCTATTAGCATATTCTTTATAATGGTACAAAGTGGGTTTTTTTAGTATTATTAACAATAGTGTAACTAATGTAACTTAATGTTTCCTACTTTTTGAAAATTTTGTTTTAACAGTTGTGCTGTCAATTTGAAGATCTGATTTAAGTTCAGCTTCTTGTGGTTGTCAATTGTCATAGCTGTCAAGATGCATCACAAAGATGCCTACACACAAACACAGAAAGAGGACAGTTCACCACACCAAACCTTGATGCACATTTTTCAACACTACCTACCAATTCTGCAGAAGTTTTTGTTGGAACAACTCAGTTTCTATCTTCCTTTATGTCAAATAGCTGTTCTTGTAAGGTACTAATGGGAAAGTGCTGCGTTATATTTTTGAGTAAGTTCAAGAAGCCACTGAAACCCTTCCTTTGAAAAACCTGTTAGAAAATTGAGCTTCCAAAGGAAGTCTACAGGATAGTTTTTATGTGTAATATAATTATGTAATTTTCAGCAACAATATCAAAACATACACACACAAGGATGCAAACATTTCTATGTCCATTTTCAAAACACCCTATGTTAAAGAGATTCTTTCCAAATCAGTTAGTTTTTTATTGTTAAAAGTACCACCCTTTACCTTAAAGACAACTTAAGTGTGCTCAACTTTGAAAAATAACATACATCTGGGAACATGCCACTGACAGCAAACCTGGAGCATGAGTTGTTTGTAAAGGAAAAAAACTTAATTCATTTTACACTCAACTCTTTTGAGTGCTTTTTCATTAACACGTGGAGGGTGGTGTAAAGGGATAATGGTGGAAGGAAGTGAAAAAGTAAGAATTATTCTGTATTATACATACTATGAAGGTCACCCCGCATTCTTTTATAAAACAATATGGATTCTAAAAAGACACGAGAAGCCATAAAACCACTTAACCCCAACACCTAAACTATGTCACAACACCAGAGAGCAAACAAACCAAGCAGGGCCCCACTGCTGCGGGTCATCTACAAGGGGTTATAGGCATCTGCGTCAATGCTAGGAAAGCACACTTCTCTTTCATTGCTTTGGACAGTTCATATAACCTCCTTTTCCCACTTGCATTTTCTTCCCGCATCTGGCTTTGAGACCACTGCACTGAACTACTTGCTAAACTACTTGCTAAATGCTCAGAGGCAGGGTCCACATTTTTTTCCCTACTCTCTAATCTGGTGTTTGGAAAGTTCCAAAAAGTGTAATAGGAGCCCCTCTAAAGAAGCTGTGATCCATCTCTAAGGCTCCTTCGAATTCCAAAGAACGGAGAAACAGCTCAATATCCACCTACCCAATCCCTTTTCACCAAAAAGTAATTCCAAAGAGCCAGTAGTAAGGGTCTTCTATCTGCCTTCCATTTTCCTAGCCCTCCCTCTCCAACACCATACATTTCTAAATACCTAAGACCATTCAGGGCCAAGTTGTCGTCAAAGTTAGAAAATGAGGAGGTAGTGGAGGGAGGAAAAAATGGAGATGGTTGGGGAGAGTGGGGTAAAGGCGGCCAGTTTCAATTAAGGCCGACAAAAGCAACTCTTGGCCAAAGCCCGACCAGGAAGGAAGCGCTCTTGAATGAAGTTCAGCATCTCCAAGCTCCTTAGCAACGGGGTCCGCCGGCCCTAGCAACAGGCCAGCGAGGAAGCCGCCTGCGCCGAGAGTGCGGGGGGCACCGCGGCTCCCCGCACCTGCGCGCGGCTCACGGCTCCAGAGACCCGTTCCTACCGCTTCTCTCCCGCCGGGATCCGCGCACCAGCCGCCACCCCACGTGGGGATTTTGCCCGGTACACTCTCGGCCAACAGCCACCGGTCCCGCCAACGGCCTCCGGGGAACTCGGAACGTGAGGCTTCACAGGGCCCCCGGATCTGGCGGCGCCGCCGGTGACGTCAGACGCACGCTGCGTCCTCTAAGCCAATAGCAGGGACGTCTCATGCGCGCCCCGCGGAGAAGCGTTGCCCTGGCAACGAGGCGCCAGGTGTTAAAAGGGCAGCCGGAGAGCTTTAGAAGCGCTTTCTCCGGTAACAAAGGGGCAGTTGGTGGAGGGTCTTTTCAGAAAGAGAGGGCTGAGGGGCAGAGAGCACAGGCTCGGAGTACCTGCGCCGCAGCCTCTTCCCAGTCCGCGTGCTTAAATCTTAACAGTTCCCTTGCACACTGACCATAACTCAGTGGTCTCCGAGTATCTTGCCCTAAATCCTCTGAGGGCTGAAGACCACGAAGTCCCTCCCCAAAGTCTTCTGCAGAGAGGACCAGAGCCGTCTTCCTGCCTAGCTGTGGAATTTCGTTTCTTGTTTTACTAATTCATAGGCTGTTGCAGTCAGCTACAAAATACATCCGTATTTTAATTTGAAAACGTGTGTTTTTCTACGCCAGATTGTTTTAATAATAAAACAGATGCTGCGGGAAAATGCCTGTCTCCTCGCGATGCCACCAAAGCAGTTTGGGTTGTCATAGTGAAAAACCCAAGCCCTTTCAGGCCTGTCCGCTGCATTCCTTTCTAGCGCCCTCTCCTGTAAGCCATGGTCTTCACTTTTTGCTCAGGTAATAGCTAACTACATACAGTTGGAAGTCTGAATACAGCCGACCGTGTGATCCATCCCTGGCCTCGTGGCTCCTGTCTTCCTACCTGAATTGCTGCTCCAAAAGCATCTTCACTAAACTGTGAATTTCTTCAGGACAAGGAATATACCTTTTCCCTTTTTGTTTCTCTAGCTGCCAGCACAATACACTGGATATTCAGGAAATCCTCTTTAAATATGTATATCTAATTTCTCTAATGTTCTGTGAACCAGGCGTACAAGTCTATTTTAACTTTTAAAATTCTTCTCCACTAGACTGAAATTAAGTAATGTTTAAAAAGAGAGAGAGAAAATCCTATTTCTTTCCTATTTTCACCGTATAAGCTCTCTTCTCCAGATTCTTCAAGACTTACTATATCACCTTGCCCCCTTTCTCACTCCTGGCATCTCCAGTGGCAGACTTAACAGAACCTAACTCGAACTTTTATCCCCTCTGCCTGGAGGATAAGAATCATCTGTGTTCAGTATTGCAGAGACGTGAAGTGCACATGTTCTGAAGTTAAGCTGTGTAGGTTGGAAACCCAGCTCCTTCGTTTATCAGCTGTGAGGTCTTGTGCAAGTCATTTTAACCCTTTTCAGCCTTGATTTCCTCATCATAATAAGGTTGTTACCAAACTCAGTTCTGGCTGCTCGCCTTTCAAAAATCAACACCGGAGTTGGGTGGGGGGCGGCAAACGTTGGTAGAAAGTAAAGTTGCTTTTAATCAGAATGCTGGCAATCTGGGGAGATGAAGGACTTGGTGTCCCCCAAAAACCATCTCTGAAGATTCTGCTCAGCTATGAAAGTTTTTTAAGGGAAAGAGGGAAATAATCTCAGTTAATCTTTGAGATAGAGAGTCAGAGTCATTGCCATCCCCCACTGCATGCAGTGACAAGGTTAGTGACAAGACAAAAGGGGCCACCTGTGGAGAGCTCTCTCTTTACAAAGGCAGAGAGCGCTTTTCTGCCAAAAGCGGCACACACGGATCTTGTAAGACTTAAGAGCACCAGTAAAGTTCCTGTTCCTGGTGTAATGGAGCCAATCAGTCCTTGCTGGAGTTTTTCAGTCCTTGTATGGGCTTTTCCAGTTGCTGTCATGGCAATCGTCAGCTGTCACGGAACTGGTGGCTGTGTCATTTAGCAGCTAATATATTACATTGAGGATAAAATGAGACCCAAGATCCAGAGCTGAAGTCAGATCCTTCACTATCTTTGACTCCATCAGGTTCTAACCAGTTCTTGTTTCTTCTCTGCAGATACCTTCTGAGACTTAGACAAGAGTAATAGGTTTCTAGTACAGGGAGGGACAAGGGTATGATCCTGGGGGCAAAAGCCTTGGTAACAAGAAGGAAAGTTGCTTTTAACCAGAATGGCTGCAATCTGGTGGACCCAGCATGTCACCTCCAAAAAAGCTCCAAAATTTCTGTTCAGTCTTGAAAGTTCTAAAGGGCAATGAGGGAGTAATCTCAGTTAATTGTGGAGATAGGTGGTCAGAGTCGTGGCCATCACCCAATTCCTGCAGGCTTGCCCTAATCAGCTGCTTGAGCCTGCTCTTCTATGACTCAGGGAGGCCTGGGAGACTTCAGCTTTCCTATAAAAGAGAGGCAGGAGTTGGGGGTGCGGAGGTGGGGTGGGGTGGACAGGGTCCTGCTCCCTTTTACAGGGACAGCATGCAGTGTGTGAGAAACGGAGAGCTGATTGTGAGTGAATTTTTGTTTCCTAATCCTGTTCTGGTTTCAAGGTTTAATTTTAAAAGTTTCTTTATTTGGAAAGAGAGGGAGGAGGGGAGCAAGGATGACCAATGTTCCTAGCAATATGACAAATGATCTAAAAAGACAGACGATGCTGTGTATCTCCCATAGGTCCCTACAGATGTCCTCTCCACCTATCTCCACTATATACTCTGGGAAGCTGATCAGTGTGGACTGGCATCATCACAGCCCCCATGCCCTCTGGGTTACATTTGGGTTTGGCCAGCGGAGAACCCCAGCAGGAAACTGGAGGACAGGGAATGAAATCAGAGCATTCATTCTCCTGCTTCCACCCCTAGGAGACTCTCTACAACCAGCTGGACCCCTAAATGAAGGCTACAGTTCCTTTCTACATGGCCAACACAGGACTAAAGGTGAAAAAAAATCTCAGGTGCTACCGGTGCTTGATGAATGCACTGTCCCTTTACGTCCCCAATACTTGAATAAATTGTCCTTTTGTAAAGAATGCCTTGCCAAATTATCCTATTTTAATGCATTAGGTAAGATTATGACTTAGCTAATAAATCTCGTCAAAGGTGAAAAGTCAGAATCTTTTTTTCCTCACTGTTTGGATTCCTATGTCACCTGAGAAAGTCTCTTAATTATATGTGTTTAGTCACCAAGCATTTTAAAGAAAATATCAGAGGCATGATTGGCTTGCCCTTAATTACTTAAAAGAAAATCTGTTCCTCTTTGTACAAATTACTGACCAGCTGAGCATTCCCAACCATCAGGAAGTAAGACGTAAGAGATTTTGTATGTAATTTGCAGTGTACCCTGTCATGAAATGTTAGACTTCATCATTATCTAATCATTGAGTGTCCGTATTTAAAAAATTAACTTTTAATTAAAAATTTTTTTCCACGTGGAAAATATTAAGCAGTAATATATCTTCAGGTGAAAGAAAAGGAGATTGACATGAGTGAGCAGTGTCATCCAATAAAAATATAATGTGAGTCACATAGGAAATTGTAAATTTCCTAGCAGGCACATTTAAAAAAAAATAAAAGTAAGCAAGTAAAATTAAATTTAGTAATGTCTTTTTATTTATATAAAAATTAAAATGTTCAAGTATGTCAAAAATATTATCAGTGGGCAATGATTATAACAAATATCAGTGTGATCATTTACATTCTTGTTATGCTAAATGCTTCAAATTCTGGTGCAATTTTAGCATTTATAGCACCTCTCAATTCAGACTAGCCACATTTCGTCCTCAGTGGCCACATGTGGCTTGGGGCAACCATCCCGGAGAGTGCGAAGGGAGAGCTATGGCCTCAGATAGTTGTACAAACACAGAACCAAGTTAATAAGTGGGTAGTTTCTAAGAGTTATAGAGAACATACTGTGTGTAGACCATACAATTAGATGTTGGAAGATCAGCGCAAAACAAAAAGGGAGAGCTAAATAATTGATTAGGAGTCTCTGACTGTAGAATCAGAGCTAGGAACAACTTCCTTTATGATTCAAAGTTGAATTTAACTTCTTTTACAAATTTCCCTTCTGGCAGTGGAAGAGACAGTCAGTCATCTTCTCCTTGGGCGTGTGTGGGTGGGGGAGCAGCGAAGCCTGGCGGGGCGAGCCACCTAGTCCTCATCTGGACTTTCTCTTTTCTCCACGTGGGTACCTCGTGCGTATCTTTCATTCCAGGTCCTCATTCAGAGCTAATTCTTCTCTCCTCCTAAGTACCGGGAAATATTCTATTCTTCCCAGCCGAAGTGAAATCCACCTGTTGGGTTCCAAGCCGTGGAGATCATGGGAATCTGTGAGATTGCCTTTGAGTCTTGCCTAGACACACTGTCTGGCCGTTTCTCCTGGTCCTGCACCCTGCAAGGTTCAGAAGTATCCAGACCCTTGTTAGGGCTGTGACATTGCCCTGAGACCGGTATGGTGGGACCTGTATGGTGGGGAGGGCAGATAATGATTGGGAATGATCAGTTGGTCTGTAATTTGTACAAAAAGGAATAGATTTTCTTAAAGTAATTACTCCCAGCCAACGATAATACTTCTGATATTTTCTTAAAAATGCTTGGTGATTAAATACATATAATTAAGAAATGTTCACAAGCAAAATAGGAATCCAAAGACACTGTGTCTTTGCACTCACATTTGGACCTTGACTCTGAATTATGGCTTATTCTTCCAAATCTTCCAAATAATGACTAATCCTTGAACTTGGTTTTTGAAACTTCAAGTGGCATGGAGCAGCAGAAAATATTATTTTTACAGAATCATTTTTATTATATTAGTTTATAACCTATTTTAGGATCTTTTATGGGGTATTTTTTACTCTGCAGTGTCAGTCAGAATAACATACCATTTAAAGAATTTTTCATCCCACTCAGTCCAAATATAGCCTGTTAAGTTGAGGGTTAGAGAAAGAACGAAATAGGTTTCTCATAGCTATTAACCACAATTAAATCAACTCATTAAGTCCTAGGTAATTGATTTTTGTTCTGCTGATCTTGAGTGAATGAGTCTTCTTTCACAAAGTCATTTGCAACAGGGCTGAAAGAAATGGAAAGACGTGACTTTGTCTCCCTGTGCCCTCTGACAGGTGTCTGTGGCGACGACGTGGGGTT